ACATTTACCACAAATTATAGGTATCTTATATTATTAGATATATTATTATAAAACATGCTTTAGTTAAGGAGTTATTGATACTTCAAGTGCAAAATGACAATATAAAACCATGATAAAAATACACTTTTAAGTACTAAGCAAGAAGCTAGGATTGAGGGAGTTATATTATATGTCAAGGCTTGTTAGAGTGGCAAGGTCTAATGTTGCTCCTAGATTACCAATATGGCCTGAGTAAAGGCTTGTACCTTGTTAATGAGTTGTTGAAACTCTAATGGAGTAGACATGCCAGCAATTGTAGGGAGTTTATTATCGCACCTCGTCTTAGGGATATATTGACTGACTATTATTAATAGCAGTTAGGGATGTCAAAAACTGATTTAGGGAGAACAATTGATGGCTTTTTTTATTAGTTCCCCACAAATATGATGTTTCAAAACCTAATATGCCCAGGAATAAGGTTTTTGAGTATTTGGACAGTGGGTAATTACACGTTCATGTCAATATTCCCTTTTCAAGAGTTCATGAAATTGATAGGTGGTTGTAGAAGACCTAACACCTATAAAACAATTTCTTTTTATGGGGTTTAGAGACTCTCAGATGATAAAGTTAATGACATTTAGTAAAGGATTGTAATAAATAAGAGAATGAATCTTAAATTCTAACAAAAATATTTGTTCTTGTTTATATAGGATAAATGCTTTGAGAATTAAAGTACGAATACTTAAAGAATAAAAATTATAAACATTTTAATATGGATGGTTAAAAGGATATATATATAGCCCTTAAACCTTATCATGTTGCTTGAATAGAAAGGTTACAGTATCATTTCCTCCTAATAGTATTAATAAATAATAAATCATTTAATATTAATAAAAAAAATAGATATCCTTTGCATAATATTAATATAGATAAAAATATGATAGACCTTTATAAGAGTCTTATACAACTAGAGGTTTAGAAAAATGATTATTTTTTACTTTTTAACATTTTATGTTAAGAACTATAAGAATAAACAAAATCTCATGACCTAACATGGAGCTTATAATGAACGTTAGTTTCATACTCACTTAAATCTAGAAAGATACCGTACTTAAAAATAAGGGATTTGCTAGCTTGTCAGACCCACGTATACTTGGATTCAATATATAAATGAACCTAAGAATATTGAATCTGACAGCTCGTCAAACTCATGTATACTTAGATTTACCATAAAATGTAAAAGTATTGAATCTGACAACTCATCAAACTTGTATGTATATAAACTTAATATAAAGTTGAAACCAAAAATATTAAATCTAACAACTTGTCACACCCGTATATATATTTGATCTCAACTAAAAATATTGGATTTCAAAGCTTCTCAAATCCATATTTATTTAAAAATATTGGATTTCGAAGCTTCTCAAATCCATATTTATTTGAAACTTCTTAAATCCATATTTATTTAAATTCAATGTGTAGCTAAGTCTATGATTTTGGAATGAAGTGAATTAATAAAGATGCCACCCCCCAACGCTTGAAGAAGCCTGTTTCTTGCTCACTTGGAACTCCTTGAAGATTCTCCTTTATTGCACATTGTTGAAAGCAAAGATTGAAAAGAAAAGAAACAAGTAGTAAAAGAAACAAAACGATCAACAATGTTTGAGGTATGTCAGGAACCAGGGCCATAGGCTTCGGATACTTCTTTTCCAAATTGCGTTTGGATTTGCAAAAGGGACTCCCTACTCCTATAAAATCGAGGAATCAATTTCCTGATCTTGAATTAAGGAATAATAAGAGCGTGGGATTTCACAGACGAGCTTGCTAGGGCCTGTTTTTAGATCATATTTAATATGCTTAAAAGCCATCTGTGAGTTCAAGCATACTAGCATGTCTATCAATTCTGTTCATATGGGTAAAACTTGGGATTAGAATGCCAATAATCAGTGAAACATAAAATGAAGGTGCAATAGCTTGTCGACGTCCGAGTTACTTGTAGTCTTCTCAAGCAACTTAATGGTGAACTACGAGTACAAAAAATAAACAAAAATTAAAATTGACGGCCGACATGTCAATTGTTCTATTTTTCGGTTCTCAAACACTCACGAATCATCAATTCCAGGATGCCAGCAGATATTGAAGTTCATGTAAGCTTTACAGCAGCATCTCCCTCTCACAGCCTCCCTAGGCGTAACTGTACAAGTTCCTTGCAATTCACAACAAATCACTGAACTTCGATTTCAACCAAAGTAAAACTTTCAGGTTGAAGAGTACATTTGTTCCCTGCACATACATTGTTCTATGACCATACCACTGTCATAACATAAGAAAAACAAGGCATGCAGCTTAAAGTTATCAAAAACAGCAATGTCATGCAATGCAATTAACTTCTAGGCTCATCACGCTTGGATTTCTTTTTCCGGGGTTGTTCTCCAGATGTGGCAATATAATCTTCTGGATTGACATTCTCAAAAGACTTCTGCTTCCCAAACTCCTTTGCCTTTTTCTGCAAAACAACCAAATTCAAGACATTTCAACAAAAATCATTAAGTAACATGGCATTCCAATTTCTGGAATTGTGCAATAATTTCATCATAACTGCAAAATGCATGAGGCACTAAAAATCAGATCATGATGATCACAATACAAATCCTCTTCATTATTTCGGTACACAGAGCATATGGCATTACGATGAAATGACATTTTATCATGACAAATTACCTTTAGTGACATGGCCATGGCAGCCACATCTTTGTTATTATCTGCATCTGTTCTAGGATCCTCCTTTATGAGTTCCTGTGATTGTCACATACATTCCACGAAGGTTACATACAGAATAGAGAGAAGAAAAGAAAAGGAAAAAAGATAAGATGCTTATCAGATGGGTATAACCAGCAGAAAGAGCTTCAGAAACGAACCTTGGGAGGAACAAAGGCAGCTTCTCTTTTTCTTTTGTTTTCAGCTGTTTTTTCTAATTGCTTCTCTTGTTTTTCATGCCACTTCTTTGCTTGTTTCTTCTTGTCACTTAAAAAGTATTCTCCCGTCTCCAGTTGTATATCTTCCTGCAGGCACCACATTACATAGCATGCCAAATGGATATTAGTTATTCTGATAAGGACTAACTAAGAGTCAAAGAGAAAGACTAAGCTTCTGGAATTATCTGTGTGCAAGCATGAATTAATGCTAACAAATTCAAAATATGACACCTTCCAGCAATTATGCTTGTCGAATTCAACCATTAGATTAGTAACAGAACTGGTGGCTTGACTCACCAAACTATATTCCCTGACAAAGAATTAAGCAACCTTGTGGCAAGAATTTTTATTTAATCTCCCGCAAAACACAATTGCAGGAAAAAAAATATTGAAAAGGAGAAGAAAAACAAAAAGGGTAATTTGAAACAAAGAGCAAGAAAGAAAAGCATTCACAAGGAAATTGATTCCAGAACATTGCAGTAAACAAGGTAAATGACTACCTCATGTAATCAGCATTCCTTGCATAGTAACCGTTACCAATATAAAATAAGTATTGCACAGTTGCCAATACCGAGTCAATTACAAAAGAAAAGTTATCCAGTGGTCCTTAAGCAAGATAGCACTTTACAACATCAAACAAAAAACAAAAAGGAATTTTTTTGAGAGGAAAGTCTTAGAAAACAAAAATAAAAAGGAAAAGGAAAATGCGAAGTTTGTTGGTATCTTTGCCTGTTTTAAGTTTTCTATTCAGCAAAATCTATTTGTTTCCTTGAAAATAAATAAACCATGCATACAAAAAGATACTGGAAGACAAAGCAGTGGTCTCACCATGCTAGGTTGTTGAGGAGGAGGGAATGGCGTGTCTTGTTTCTTCTTTTTACTCTTGACCTTCTTTTGTTTCACGGTCTTCCTGAAATTATCCATGTAATTCAGCAACAAAAACAAAGAAGATAGAAGGCAAAAGTGACTAAAATATGTGGGAATGGAAAAGATCATTTGATGGTACATACTTCTTATATTTAGGAAGGAACCTGTCCCAGTTCTCATTTTTAAGAGCAGGATCTTTTTCAAGTTCTTTCTTCATCATAAGAATCTACACATCACAAGGACATCAAGAGGTGAATAAAGGTTATCAACAGAGGGTATGTTGATAGATTTTTCAAGTGAAAAACTCCATGCAAACAGGTATACGAGAAAAAAAATCTATGGTAGAAAGAAATCATGAAAACTACAACAATTACATATAGCATGCAATGCAAGTTGTTCGCACCTTTATATGGTATACGGGATGCATTTTATTTTGTATGCAGTCTTCAACAATTCTCCTGACTTGTTTTAAACCTTTAAATGAGCCCATAGCAGCAACAGTGTTTCCCTAATCAATCAAAGAAAAACATAAATAATTCTATTCATGGTGCTATACTTCTCCGATAACAGGAAAAAAATTATTTGGCTATCAAATTACAAGCAATAATTATCACCTGAACTAGAATATAGCAGCCTGTCAGTAATTCTAGTGCCTGCACCAAAATAAAATGATGACAAGTCAGTGAATAGAAGATCAGCCTTTTGCTGGTTTTTTTATTTGCAGGGGAAGAGGGTTGGGAACTTATAAAAGAATTCTAAAGCAAATAAACAGCACACACCTTCAAGGTTGATGAATTCGGGCCCACAAGGTTTTGTCTTCTTTTAACAAATCGTTCCTGCAAATAATAATAGAAAGTTGAATTTGCTCCTGAACTCTTGAATACAGGATTATTGGCAAATATTGAACAACAGATATAGTTCTAATGTCAAATGTTTAGCAGTAAGGAATTTTTCCATATTCTTTCTATTTTAAGATTTTATAAAAAGATTTAGTTACCAGAAAATGATACACAGCTTAAGACATTTAACATGTATCATACAACACATAATAATTACATGTTATCAATTATATGGAATAATTTAAGCACCTACCTTATTACGAATCATGTTGCCGATCTTGATGATATCGCAGCTCATATCATCATTCAAAATTTTGATCGCCTGTAAAATAAAAAATTAAAATAATCACTGTTGTAAAACCAATATAAAACTATCCCAAATGAGAAATACGCATCATATAGATTCAGCCTAACCCCCTAAAACACTAGTCTATATGTTTTTAGTAGCCCAGCCCACATGTACTATATAGTCAGAACAGGAGACACATCAGCAGGAGCACAACCACTACCCTGTAAGCAAATTTTTTGGTTGGATGTGAACCAAAAACATTAAACCTTTCTGTTCTTCTTTTATATTAACTAAACTAAAATGAAATAAACATAAAAGTATAATCAATGAAGGCAATACACAAATACAAAGAAAAACAGTCTTTTTGGTACTTTGAGCTTATACACCTAGCCTATCCAGATGGGTTGAGCTACAAAAGCAGTTTCGGGTTGGGCAACTGTAATTTGAGATTTCAAAGTCTATACAGGCTTCACAAAAAAAAAAAAAACAGTTCAAATATCTTCATAGAGAGAACCACTTCTGATTATATTGCTTAGTTTTGATACAAACATTCCAGCACAGATAGTTCATGCCATTTAAATCCACCATTTGCACTAACAAAAGCCCTCAAAACAACAAAGGAAAGCACCATCACAACTATAGATAACCATTCTGCAAAACCAAACAAAAATAGCTGATCTTACCTGAGGAGCAGGGACACTTCTCGACAAAAGCTTAATAAGATCCCTAGCTTTAACAATAATATAAGGATCCCTGGTCTTTATCGTAGTTTTAACCGTCATTGACCCCTCATTCTAACCGCCAAACAACAAAAAAAACATAAAATCATTAAAGAGCAAAATAAATTTCAACAGAACCAAAACACAAACTAAAAGGAAAAAAAAAAACTAACCTTATTAAGTTCGCAATCAATGCCAAACTCTTTTAACGCAGATTTCACCATCGGCCATGCGTCCGTCAAGTACTTCTCTGCCAATTAAATTAAAAAAAATTAGTTTAGCGTAAATTGAATTTAGTTGGAGTTGAAGTAGAGGACCATAACTCACCGCGATATTTAGGGAAAAGAGTCGAGAAAGAGCTGACATCGAGCATTCCACCTTGATTCCAGGACGGGTCAAATTTTTCAATCTTCCAACGGTCAATATTAGGGTCTTCATCCCATGGTTTTGGCTTATCATGTTTTCCTTTGTGTTTTGGTTTCTTTGTGTTTGATATATCTGTGTTTTCTGCTCCGTCTGCCTCCATTTTTTTAGATGGTGGAGGCTGGAAACCCTAGCCTAGACAGTTACTGCAAAACGCCTGTGTCTCAACTTCGAAGGATTTGTATTTTTTATACGTGCGATGGATGGAGGACGTTTATTTCTTATTGGGCCCGGTCCAAAATATCGAAGCATTAGGAATTAGGATACTTCTAGAAAACACGTTAGATCCGAACTAGAAGCATTCCCTTGCTCCGCTGCTGCGTGATGAAGCAAGGTTTTTTTTAAGGATAAAAATATTGTTAATATTTTTTTGTCATAAATAAAAATTTTAATTGTAACTTAAAAAACTAATATGCCTATTATAAAATATATTGAGAGTTATATATACTAAAAATAATAATAAACTTATTAATTCAAACTTAAAGATTTCAAAAACTAAGATAGATATATGTATTAAAATATTTTATTTCATAATATTTTCATGATTTTGAATATTTTAAAAAAATTTAAAAAATATATATTCTATTAATGTATTCATTTTAAAATGTTTGATTAATTTTTTTTATCAAAGTAACATTAATGTTGTTTTTTTATATTAATGTTTATTACAAGACATGCTAATAAAAGAGTGTTCTAGTTTAAGATTTAAGAATTCTCTATGAAGAAGATGATAAGTAATTATTTGAGTTTTATTGAATTTTATTTTTTATACAATAAAAGGTCCTAATGTTCTAAGTAATTATAATATTAGGGACAAGTATAAGCACATTATTTGGTTTCTGACTCTTTCAAATAAGAATCTATTTTAAAATGACTCTTTCAAATAAGAATCTATTTTAAAGTGTAGTTGTAGTTATTTTTTAAAGTATTTTTTATGCTGAAATATATCAAAATAATTTTTTTATTTTTAAAAACAATTTTTTTGAAATTGGCGTATTAAAACGATTTAAAATATATAAAAAAGTAATATTTTATAAAAAAAAATTAATTTTTAAAAAAATATGATTTGCATCGCGTTTCCAAATATTCTTTGAGAATTTCTTTCAGTCATAAATCATTGTGTCTCCCCATATATGATCATATGTTATAATGTCACAATAGAACATAAATGATTGCCAGGAGAGATCAACAGTGAAGGAAGAAAAAACTTGCTTAGTGATTAGTACTTAAAGTGCATTTTTATTAAGGTGTTATATTATTATTTTGCACTTGAAGTATCAATACCTCCTTAACTAAAACATGTTTTATAATAACATATCTAATAATATAAGATACTTTTAATTTATGGAAAATATTCATCTTAAATGCAGGTCTATCACATAAATAAAAGAATTGATTAATTAGTTTAATTACTCAAATTGAAAGGACAAAGAGATAACCAAACTTAAAAAAGAGATGTTGGTATAGTCCAAACTAGGACACTATTCGATAATTAAGTCATATCTAGAGTTATGGATCTCAAATTTAGATCTACTTTATATGGATGAAAAGGTAAGACATAGGCCTATAACTTTTATGAAATTCAAGATTTAAGAAAGTCATTTTCAAGTCCAAATTGTAGCAAAAACAAAGAAGTCCGCATCTGTCTTGCAACCTAGATACTATTCAGTATTCAACCCATATCTTGAGTTCTAGAAGTCCAAATAATCTCAATTTTTTTTCCTGAAAATGTGAGATAATTTCCTAAAACTTTCATGTAAAGGTTTGGTTCAAATAATGATGAATCAATGACGTTTTATTCAAATAAGAAAATAAGAATTGTTAACAAGTTAAGATGTTGCCACCTACTCATCAATTAGTCATCAAATCAATAATTTCCAATTTTGGCCTATAAAAGGAGGCATTTATCATGCATTTAGGCATCTTGGGTTTCCAGATCATGATCATGTTTTTGCTTTCTCTCTTTGTATTTTTGTAATGCTTAAGTTTTGTTTTCATTAATATCTTATTCATGTCTTTCAATTCATTTCCTTTATTTAGTTAACTTTTATCTTATTTATATTCTTATCTTTTTTATTTATGTTTCTCTCTTTCATTATGTTTAACTAAGTTTATTATATCAAGGTGAAAATATTATACTAATGGTGTAAGAATAAATATAGTGTAAACTTAACATGGACTTTAATATTTGATACTAACATGTTTTGTATTTGTTATCTTGTTCACTTTTTAATACTTTACTTGTTAAATGATTAATCTAGATTTATGTTATATAACACTTGGTACAACAAATACTTGGCACTTTGAAAATACAAAGATTTACAAGTATGAAAATAACTTAATTTGTTATGAACATAAGTTATAATCATGAATACCTAACAACATTTACAAGTATTAGCATTGTTCAAATAACTAATGTACTCGTATTAACAATTTATAATCTAATTAGAATCTCCTTTGTGTGTGGTTTTCATTTGAGTAATAAGAGTTTATGTTATACTTGTTTGAAATACTATTAGTGGATCCTCTAACCTTGACATTTGTTGTTATCATTATTTAATCCTTACATTGATCTTCCCTCTCAAAGTTCTCATCAACTTCTTCTTCTTCTTATTTTTATTTTATTATTATTATTATTATTACTACTACTACAATAATTACTACTATTACTATTATTATTATTAGTATTATTATTATTATTATTACTGCTACTACTACGACTACTATTACTACTACTACTACTACTACTATTATTGTTGTTGTTGTAATGTTGTTATTTATAATTTATTTAATTAATATCCTTCTGGTTCGACCCCAGTCTTGCCCGGTTATTTATTACTTCGACACTCCTACACTTGGGAGAAGATACCAATCTTTTGATCTTGTCAAGTTTTTGGCGTTGTTGCTGAGAGGGTAAATTCTTGTACAAATTATAGTATTTATTTTATTATATTTTATTTTTCACTTTTTTTGCATCTAACTTTGTTTCTTTTTCTTTTGTTTTCTTCTTCTTTTTATTCTATTCCTACACATGCATAAGAGTTTGGTCACGTACATTAAATGATAGACTTTGTAGGATATCCTTATTATTTTTAAAAAATATGGCCGAAGAAGATAACCAGTCGTTTCATAATGAAAATAATGAGAATAACCGTATTAGAACACTTAGAAACCACATAAATCCCACAAGAACAAGTGCACCTTCATGTATAGTTTTTTCCTAGATACATCTTATTTTAATTTTAAGCCAGACATTATTCAACTTTTCCCTTCTTTTCATGGCTTAGATTTAGAAAATCAATACTTACATTTAAGGGAATTTGAGGAGGTCTACAACACGTATAATGACTCAAATTGTATTACAAACACCATCATATTAAAGATTTTCCCTTTTTCATTAAAAGATAAAGCTAAAACATGGCTATAAAATTTGAAACCTAGATCCATTCGTGCTTGGGATGAAATGCAACAACAATTTTTAAAGAAGTTTTTTCCTTCTTATAGAACAAACTCTTTCAAAAAACAAATCACCACTCTCACTCAAAAACCAAGAGAAATATTTCACCAATATTGGGATAGATATCGAGACTTACTTAATACATGCCCTTATCATGGTTTTAAAACAAGTAAATTGCTTTCATATTTTATGAAGGGTTAACACCTAGAGATAAACAAATTGTTAAATTGATGTGCAATAGAACTTTTAATGATAAAGATCCTGATGAAGCAATGAAGTACTTAGACTTGTTAACTGAAAATGCTTAAAATTGGGATACCGTAGGTACTTATAAGGCACCGACTAAAACTCAACTAACACAACTAAAAGATTGATGTTTTCTCCCAAGTGCAGGAGTGTCGAAGTAATAAATAACCTGGCAATACCAGGGTCGAACCACAGGGAGGTTAATTGTACAAATTATAAACAACAATTATAAACAACAACAATAACAATAACAATAATAATAACAATAACAACAACAACAACAACAACAACAACAACAACAACAATAATAAAGAAAGAGAAGAAGAAGAAGAAGATGAGAACTTGGAGATGGAATATTAGTGTAAGGATTAAACCATGATAATAATAAATGTCAAGGTTAGAGGCTCCACTAATGGTATGTTAAACAAGTATAATATAAACTCTTATTATTCAATTGGAAACCACACACAAAGGAGGTTCCAATCAGATTATAGATTGTTAACGTGATTACATTAGTCATCTTATTCAATTAATGCTAATACTTGTAAATCTCATCAAGCATTCATGATTATAACTTATGTTAACAACAAATCAAGTTCCTTTCATAGCTTAGGTGTCGGTTATACCATACAGTTTCATAGCTCAGGTGTCGGTTATACCATACATTATGGGCTATGAAAGTGCCAAGCATTTGTTGTACCAAGTGTTATACAACATAAATCAAGATTAATCATTTAACAAGCAAAGTATTAAAGAGTGAACAAGATAACAAATACAAAACATGTTAGTATCAAACATTAAAGTCCATATTAAGTTTACACTATACTTATTCTTACACCATTAGTGTACCCTTTTCCCCTTGACATAATAAACTTAGCTAGACATAATGAAAGAAAGAAAAATAAATAAACAAAATAAGAACATAAATAAGATAAAAGTTAACTAAGTAAAGGAAAGGAAATGAAAGGCATAAACTTGATATTAATGAAAGCAAAGCATAAACATTATAAAAAATACAAAGAGAGAAAGCAAGAGCATGATCTTGATCTGGAAACCAAGATGTCTAAATGCATGGCAAATGTTTCCTTTTATAGGCCAAAATTGGAAACTATTGATTTGATAACTAATTGATGAGTAGGTGGCTAACTCTTGACTTGGTGACAATCCTTATCTTCTTTTGTCTGCCCAAAACATCATTGATAACGTCAAAATTGGAACCACTTGAAAACATAAACGTTGTAGTAAATTGTCTCAACTTTCTTGCATAAAAAATTCAGATCATTTTGACTTCTCAAACTCCAGATATGGGTCAAACACTGAACAGTGCTCGAGCTGGAAGACAGATTCAAACTTCTTTATTATTGCTCCAATTTGGACTTGAAAATGACATTTTTAGATCTTGGGCTCCATATGAAAGTTGTAGCCCTATGTCTTAGCTTTCCATCCATATAAAGTAGACCTAAATCTGAGATCTACAGCT